TTCTGTGTGTCTGCTGCTGTTTTGGTCCTTCAGTTTTTTTCTTTGTTCTCATACTCCACAGCTGAGTGAAATCATTTGACACTTGTCTTTCTCCGCCTGCCTTATTTCACTGGGCAGAATACCCTCTAGCTCCATCCATGTTGTTGCAAATAGTAGGATTTGTTTTCTTTTTGTGGGTGAATACTATTCCATTGTGTTTATGTACCACCTCTTCTTTATCCATTCATCTACTGATGGGCACTTAGGTTGCTTCCATTTCTTGGCTATTGTAAATAGTGCTGTGATAAACATAGGGGTACATATGTCTTTTGGAAACTGGGCTCCTGCATTCTTAGGGTAAATTCCTAGGAGTGGAATTCCTGGGTTAAATGGAATTTCTATTTTTTGTTTTTTGAGGAACCTCCATACTGCGTTCCACAATGGTTTAACTTTTACTTCCCAACAGCACTGTAGGAGGGTTCCCCTTTCTCCACATCCTTGCCAGCACTTGTTCCTAGTCTTTTCTAAATTGGCCATCCTAACTGGTGTGAGGTGACAATTTATTGTGGTTTTAATTTGCATTTCCCTGATAATTAGCGATGTGGAGCATCTTTTCATGTGCCTGTTGGCCATCTGAATTTCTTCTTTGGAGAAGTGTCTGTTCACATCCTCCGCCCATTTTTTAATAGGGTTATTTGCTTTTTGGGTGTTGAGGCGTGTGAGTTCTTTATATATTTTGGAAGTCAACCCCTTGTCGGATATGTCATTTACAAATATATTCTCCCATATACTTCCTAGTTTTTAAGCCAAGTCATTGCCCATGTGATATGAGGGAAAAACTTCAAGAAAGACAACAGTATGTGAATAATCGTTTCATGATTCGCCTTCATTTCAGGGGTTTGCGTATACGGGGTCAGGGGAAATGAGAGTTCTGTGATGGCTCGTCCCCCTACTTTCAGAAAGGAAAGCTCACTCCTGAGTAATTCCACAAAAATGTCATCAGTCCCATTCCCTTCCTGTAACTGTGAACTTTAAATGCTCCTTGCATCACAAGTACTACAGAGAACTAGAATAATTCTTTCACATAATTAATATGATTAATCTAATATTTAATTAATCCTTGATGCCAATTTTAAAAGGCTTCATTGCTGTACAAGATTCTGACCAATTATTTAAAGACTATAGCTTTGTAAATCTTCTCTATCACGATAACTTGCAAAGGAAACAAAAATGACAAACTCGCTTTTACCTTTCACTTCGTCCCCTACAAAATGTTTATTTCTTGTTCAGTTTTTGGAGTTAAGATTTTTCTGTGTGGTTTCTTATTACCAGGAAAAAGTACCACATTTTACCACATTCTCAAGTGCACAGTGTAATAAAACTCAGAATGCAACTAATACAACTACTTAAGTTGCTTTAAAAATCAGTCTTTCCAACTGTTTGCATTCATTCCATTGGGATTATCTGAACCAAGTTTTAAATGCCCTCAAGTACCCCAAGTTTGTTAGGACCACCTTCCTTTCCCATAAGAAACAGAGCATGCAGTAAACTGATCAAATAGTAAACATAAGGTTTTACTGTAACAAAAAGCACTCAAAAAAAAAAGACTCTTATGGTCAGAGAACTCCCACCCCAGCCACGACACCCCATGACCCACATTCCCAGGTGGCCTCTCTCAAGGTTGGGCATTTGTTACATTTCACTCAGAAAAATTAGTGACCTGGAAAAAAATGGAGAATTTTGTGTTAAGTTTTTAATTTCATACAGTCTATTTAGTAATAGTTCCTAGGTCTCATGTAAATTTTCATGCAAGGTAAATGGTAGAAAGGCCAGTGAGTTAACTTGGGGAAGGAATTTTAAGGAAATCTCAAAGTAAACAAGCTAATCTATAGGAAGTGAGCAATATTTTTAGCTTTGCTACACTTTGGCACTGATTTAAAATTCCAAAGGAGGACAAGGCTTTGCAGAAGCTATTGTATCAAAAAAATTTTAAGTTCTAGAAATTCTATACTGTGTTTTTAAGAAAAACGTAGATTTGCAAGCAATGGTCTCCAATATTTAGAGAAGAGCTAGTCTTATAAATCTAAATTAGCAATGGAATTTTACTTTCTTGAGGAGGGCAGGCAGAGAGATGGAGAAAATAGGTTTCCTACAGAGCTAGGCTATAGTACAATTGCATGCAATGATCCAATACCAAGTGAGAACTATAAATGCATTCTACAAATTTGATATATGTATCTTACTTGCCAGCGGTACTAAATATAATTTATACTCAGCCAGATTTTTAGAAAGGAATCTCAGGAAACACGTTTTTACTACCCATTTTGCCTAAATGCTGTTGCCTGCTACCCAATCTCATAGTACTATGGCTTTATTAAAACCACCACTTAAACCAGACCTAACCATGTAGCGCCCCTGTCAAGTGTACCTTCATTGAAAGTTCCTGATGAACAAGTCAAAATGCTGAATACTGCAATTTCTCAAAAACAGGCATATAGTTTTTTATGACTATAGGGAGTGATTAAGTTAAGCTTTCCCAGCCTGTTTTCAAGTTCACCCCAATCTAACGTTATCTATTCAGTTGGTGCTGTAGTTCCTCTGTCCCCAGGGGGGAAAAGGGTACAGGAACCACCCCTAACAAAATAATATTCAAGGCCTCCCCCTGAGCACAGTCAGGAAGATTCCTGCACAGGCAAAAGTTTGCTCATCATAGTTAGCCAGAGAGAATGCTGTTCTGATCAAAGTGTCAGCACACTGAGAGCAATAAACGCCAGTCAGTCTCCAGCCACTGACCCGGGGGGCTCCCACGCAAACGCCTGTCGGAGGGAAGAAAGCATTTGCTCCACCTGTCACCGAGGGAGAGCCCCGAGACTTGGCTTCTGCCTTACCTGTGATGGTAACGATCCCCAGCATATTTAGTAGCGCGCCTCCGGAACAGAAGAGCAGGGGGGTTCCCTGCCCTCTTTTGGCAGTTGGCTGAAGCAGCAGAGGGTCTTGCCAACCCCGTGCCTTCCTGCTGTGATCAGAAAGAACTAAGCGCCAAGCCGCCCTTAGAGGACGAGGGAAAACTAAAACTTGCCTTGCGAGCTGCCAGCAAAGAGCGGGGCGAGGATGCATTTCAGCGGCTAATTATAGGAGGACCTCCGCTACGCCCCCATCCGGGTGGGCGAGCTGGGGGTCTGGTCCCGCCCCCGACGCGTTCCGGGACTTGGCACTGCGCTCCGGTCATGTGTTTCATTTTGCAGCAGAGGAGCCCTCCCTGTAGCTGGTCTCTGTTAGTGGTCAGTAAAACTCTGGAGAGAGACCCAGGGAGGGTTTAAAAGTTGCTGAGATAAATAAGACCCAGAGCCAGCAGCATTTTATTTAAACGGTTACTTCATTCCTGGCATCGACTTACTTCTATCTCAGTTTTTAATACTCCTTAAAGCAAAACACCGCAGAGATAATAAAATTCTACTGCCATTTTTTAACGCTGTATTCTCTATCTTTACGTAGGCTTAAAGGCTGATGAGGTGCAAAAGACTGTTCCCTTTTTAGCACCTATAGTATTTTACATATTCACCCTCTGCTTGTGACACACACAGGAGAAGCACTGATCTGAGGATTAGCAACTCTCAGTCCTGTTAAACACCTGAACACTTTGAGAAGGGCTGTTCCAGGGCAGCCTTTGTGTCATCAATACTTGATCAAGGCAACTTTTTTAAAAGCCCAAATACTTGAGTATTAGATCTGTATTTTTTTGGTGGTTGAAATTAGCTACATTTTTTTATCAAACCATGCCACATTCCAATATATAAAAACTATCGCAGCTCTAACAGACAAGCACATGACATGGAAATCATTAGGAGTCTATGTTAAAAACTCACAAAATTTAAGGCAGCCCTAAATTCTTAAAACCTTTTTCCCCGTAACATCAGAATTGTTCTACGTAAGGGCAGAAGAAGGTGATAAATGAGTCTTTCGGTTTTGACACACTCCTTTGCTTCTCAACAGGTCCTCTACGCCCCCTGGGGTTTGTTTCCTTTCCATCCTTCCCCTATTTATCACTTCCTGTCTTGCCTCTCTGATCCCAATTAGCCGAGACTCTTTCCCTAAGCAAATAAAAGTAAGGTTTTACTATTGCTCCTCTCGTAACACCGTGAAGAACAGATCTTGTTCATTACTGCCTAGGAGGCAGGGAGGGCCCGGGGTGGACCACAGTGGCCAGAGTAAGGAGAAAGGCTGAGGGTATCAGAAAAAGGAGCACAAATATGAGTCCTGACGACTGACAAGGCTCGAAGTTGTTCCTTCTGGCCACCAGGGGGCTCTGAGGACCATACTGAAGCCCAGACTGAGCGAAGTTAAGGCGGCATCGTTGGAGCAATCCAACCTTGTCACAACAATCAGCCTCATCCTCTCCATAGACCGGATTTCCCTCATACTCAGGCAAACACCCAACCTGGTCTGGTCCTAAGTCCGCGCGGGAACACGGAATGATGCACCTTGTCCTGACGCCTGCGAGCTGACTCCCAGAGCAAGCCACTTGGCTTCCTAACCTTTTATCTTCCCTGGAGAAGTCTTAACTTAGGTTCACAAATTGCTTCAGTTGTAATGAGCGCCTGGTGTGCATGCAATGCTGCTGATGTAATGATCCCGCTGCAGTCCACACAGCTAATGGTTCGGGGCAGCTCTGCATTCCTCTCCTGCCCCGAACCTGGGCCCCCAGCCCCAGCCCTGGTTGTGCAGATGATGATCAGAGACTCTGGAGGCAGCACCGGTAGGTCTATGTGAAATGAGTGACCTATAGCTTTCCCAAGTGGGTGTATCAGCACAGACACTGTGCCTAGGCAGCGCTCGCGCTCTTGCGGAGTTGTCCCAGGAGCACAAGTGACCTCGGGATTCTGAGGTGTCAACTGGGCATCGTTTCTCAGCACCAGCTGTTGGAAACAGCACACGGCTATCACCTGGTTCTGCCTCTGCAATAGACATGCTCCACTCACTCATGGGTGCATCCGCTGGTTCCGACCTTGCTTGCTACGCTGCCAGCTCCTTTACTTCCTCTAAGTCCAAATTCTAACAGGACAAGCAACAGCTGCTCCACTGAGCTGGACAGGAAGAAACTCCACTAGTTAGTTACAAATTTAAAGCCTAAGGCAATATTTAAAAAGGCAAATATATTACTGTTCAGTTTTGTCCCTTAAACTTCTTTCTTCCTTTCTATGACACCGGTAAAGAATACTAACATATCTGATTTGATGCTCTTAAAAGAGGCAGTTCAAACCATAAGGCAGAACAAGAGATCAGGTGGCAAGTTGTTGATTCTTAGCAGACAGTTCTCCTTTGATCTCCACCTCTAAGAGGAATCAAGGGTAGGGGATGTGGCACAGCTGCCTGGTAGGCCTCTGTATGTCTGGGTTTACAAAGAGAAATCATCAATCAGTATAAGAGCAGGACTAAAGATCAGACCGAAGGTCAGTGCACAATGCAGGGAATTTTCTTTTGTTACTATTTCTATTCCCCTTTTGTTTTTGTTAAATCATAATTTTAGAGATCATCACCCAAAGCAAAAACAATGGCAAATGTTTGCCTTATCATAACTAAGTGGATGACAGAAAAAGTGTTTCCCCAACCTTAACAGTTTATGCAACAAATATTTACCAAGTTTGTGCTCTGATGACTAGGCTAAGCACCCAGGGATACAATTAGATATTGTCCTTGGTCTCAGGGAGCTCAGTCTTGGATGGCAAGACACACCTGGAGACGCAGGCAGGCACACTCCAGTTCAGCTCACTTCAGAGGACGGGGTGTGTGACGGGGCAGCCCTATCTGGGGCGCAGAGGAAGGCAGCCCCTGTGGAGGGAGCAATGTGGGCAAAGGCAAGAAGACCAAGACATTTAGGGAATCATGACACTTCCCTAATAGTTCTTGGCAACTAAAAGCTCACAGTCTACTCGAGAAAACCAGGGGAGGGGAAGGAAGGGACGGAGATGATTACTGAAATCAAGCCAGAAACACTATATTTGAGGCCAGATTACAAAGAGTTATGGATGACATCTTAAGAATTTTCTAACAAACTACACAATTTAAAAATAGGCAAAGGATTTGAGTAGGCATTTCTCTAAAGTAAATACACAAATGGCCAATGGGTACAAAGAGATGCTGAACATCACTAGCCACTAGGAAAATACAAATCAGAATTACAATGAGGTGCCAATTCACACTCACCAGGATGGCTATAATCAAGAAGACAAACAGTAACAAGGAATGGAGAGATCAGAACCTTCCTGTTGTTAGTGGGAACATAAAACGGTGCAGCTGCTCTGTGAAGCAATCTGGCAGTTCTTCCAAATGCTAAACATGGATTTACATATGACCCAGTAATTCTACTACTAGATATATACCAAGAGAAATGAAAACCTACGTCCACACAGGAACTTGTGCAGGAATATAGATAGCATCATTATTCTTAATAACCAAAAAGTAGGGGCAACCCACATGTCCATCAACCAATGCATGGATAAATAAAATTTGGTGTATCTGTACAACAGAATGTTATTCGGTAATAAAAAGGAATGATTTATACATGCTGTAACATGGATGAACACTGAAAAAATCTACTAAGTGAAAGAAGCTGGGCACAAAAGAGCACATACTGACATATTGTTTAATTCCACCTACATGAAATGTCCGGAATATGCAAATTTATACAGACATAGAGTAGACTAATGGTGACCTAGAACCAGAATGCTGGAGAGAGAGGGAGGGACCTCTAACAAGTATGGAGCTTCTTTCTAAGGGATGAAAAGGTTCTAAAACTGACTGTGGTGACTGATGGCTGTACAAATCTGCAAGTATACCAAAAACAATGGGAACATATACTTCAAATGGGTCAATTGCATGGTATGTGAATTTTATCACCTTACAACTTTTTTTTTTAAGAATTTTGTATTAGTTCTGAAGGCTTCAGAGAATCATTGGAGGTTTTGGAGCAGACTGACACACAATGTGAACCGTAATTTAGAGAAGGTAACTGGGCAGTCATGATGTGGAGGAAGAAACTCTAGAAATGGAACAGATAGAAACCGTGGTGACCAGGGTGAGGAAGGAGTCCAAAGTCCTATCACGTGCCTACTGCAAGATGCCCGAGGCACAAAGAGAAGGCAGCTGAAGCCTGGCAAATCTCTTGAGATCATCCGAATAGAAGGATGTGACATCAGAAAGGTCTGGAACTCTAAGGAAGAGGAATCTGGAAAAGCACCCTGAGAACGGACAGAGATCAGAGGCAATCGAGGAGAAAGTGCATTCAGAAACCAAATGTGGACAGGATGAAAAGATGGAAATAGCAGTCAACAGTGTGACACGTCCCAAACCGGTGACACAGGATGAGAACTGAAGCAGCCTCACAGTCCGAGAGACCAAGACCAACAGGCAAATAAGTACAATAAAGGAATTATTTATTCTCTGTGCTGAAAGGGGTCAATACACCAGAACGGGCATCCATCCTAGGCTCATAAATTTCTTCCAGGGAAGCTTGAGTATTAACCCCAAATAAGAGCATCAGAGAACTGGAGAAATGGGCTCACACACCCAAGCAAGCCCTCGCCATCTCCTTGGATTCCTTTTCAACCAGGCACATTTCAGTTGGAGGAAAATAAACCAAAATCCAGTGAGGTCTGTAACCTCTGGATGGAAAAGGTCAGGTGAAATCTAAGGGGGCACCATAATGCCACTGTTACACCTTTAAAATGGCTCAAGATCATCTTTTTACAGCATCCTGGATAACCATGAAAGAGAAGATTCATGTATAGACACTGAATCTAAATAACATAATCAAGTTACATACAAGATGGGCAGTTTTTCCTGGGCTCAGCATGTTTTCAGGTCTCTGCCCCACGCTAGGAACACAGACAAATATCGGCTAATTGAATTTTATGGTCCAGTTGAAATGCATGTTTATACAGACATGGTTATTTCAATGCAAAATCCTCAAGACAAATGTGAAAAATAGCTCTTCAAAGGGGCTGTTGTAATACAATAAAAAAGCGAAAGGGGGATTTAAAAATTACTTAAGACAATTTTTTTAAAAGAGGGGAAATAAAATATTTAAAAACTCAATCCAAATAATAAAAGA